GACGAATGTAATTATAACCCTCCCCTTCGGCTCGGGTTATAACGTCACATTCGTCAGAAAATACTTTTCCGTCCCGGCGGGCGTAAAGTTACATTTCCCTCCCGCCTCGCGGGAGGGAACTCTGACTTTGCGCCTACGCCGAGACAGAAAATCGCGTTCTAACCACGGGAAGTTAAATAANCATAAAATATCGTGTGCCACACGGCAGTAAAAGTATTTTCTGACGAATGTAATTATAACCCTCCCCTTCGGCTCGGGTTATAACGTCACATTCGTCAGAAAATACTTTTCCGTCCCGGCGGGCGTAAAGTTACATTTCCCTCCCGCCTCGCGGGAGGGAACTCTGACTTTGCGCCTACGCCGAGACAGAAAATCGCGTTCTAACCACGGGAAGTTAAATAAAGGACCCTCAGCCGCGTGCTCACCAACCTCGCCTTCGGCTCGGCTGGTAATTGCACTGGCAGCTGAGGATCCTTTATTTTCCCTCCCTAGGTTAGAAATATACTATTTCTCACCCCTGCACGGAAAGTTCATACTTTCCTCCCGCTCATCAAAGAGGAAAATACGAACTTTCCTTTGCAGGCGTGTTAAAAAAGTCTTGATTTTCCGCCCTTGATGCACAATATACTATTAAAAATTACTAGTATATTGTGCACCAAGGGCGGAAGATCATGTTTTCCCGGCCGAGGTAAAAATGCTATTTTTTAACACGCCTGCAAAGAAAAGTTTGTATTTTGCTTTCTGATCTTTCTTTCTTTCTGAGAGTACAAAGTACGAATTTTCCGTGCAGGTGTGTGAAAATATAATTTTCTATCCACTCAAATTGACGAATTCAATTTTTTCGGATTTTTTCGCTCAGTCACTCAATGATAAGAAAACAAGAACGACATTCTGCGGCGCTTCCCGCATATGGTGACCAAACTAGGGTTAATGTCAACGGGAAAAACAAAAAACATTGATTAAATAATGTTAATGAGTTAAACTGAGAATATACTGGTGGAAAAGGTGGAATGACTTACTTGCTGTTAACGAGGCTTCTTAATTATCACCACCATTCGTTTATATTTAATGGTTAACGAATCGCGGTAATAGTTAAAAAGCCTCGTTAATAGAGTCTAATCCTTGTATTAGTATACATACGGGTTTTACACGCATCGCATCTCAGAGTGTTCTGTTTAAACTCAATGTTTTATGTATACTATCTTTCTGAATTGAATGCGTCGGTGAAGTTCCTTGGTACATGTCTAAGACCAGAAATTGGAAAGTAAAACTGATAGGTAAACTGATCTTAAGGTATTTCCTCAGTGAGTTATACTTGGTGAAAATTTCGCAATGAACTGAAGACCTAAAATTTGATCGTATATGTTGTTGAGCACAGGTGAAAACGATTCCCAAAATTTCAAGTATTTTTTCCACGCGAATTTTTGAGATATGCATCGACAAAAACTTTAAAAAGACAAAAATTGAATGTTTGACGATGGATATCTCAAAAATTCCCGTGGAAAAAATACTCGAAATTTTGGGAGTCGTTTTTACATGCCCTCAACAGCATATGATCCAAATTTTAGGTCGACAGTTCATCGCGAAATTTTCACCAAGTATAACTCACTGGGGAAGTACCTTAATAGAGCAGACCCAAATTGATCATCACTGTTAAAAATTTTCCACTGAAATTCCCGATAAGAGTCTTGGAAATTTTCAACAAACAACATTTCCACTGAATTTGCAAGGGAATTTGTCATTGCAAATTCATAATTTCATGGAGAAATCTGTGGAAACCGTAAATTTCTGTTTAATTATTTTGGTAAAATTGATGAAATATCAGGAAAATTCAGAAAAATCTCACCTTGAATTTTAGATTCTTCTAAATTTTACATAGAATTCCCTAAAAATTCCTGGAATTCTGAGCATTTTAACGGAATTCCCTGAAAATTGAAGAGAATTTGGCAGTGAATATACATTTTCAATTGAAAATTCATGTAAATTGTGGAATTATTATCTTCCTGCCACTAAAAAATTGGGACTTTACTTGAATTTTCAGAGAAACTTGAAATTCCACTGGCTTTTTTCTCCTTAAATCGAGTTCAAGGTATTTTTCCAGAAAATTCAGCCGAGTTTTTTGAATAGAGATACGCCGGTCTGGAATTAGTGGAATAACAAAAGACTTTCAAATAATATCTTTAAATCGTTCGATGCATCAAAAAGAAAATGTGCACTAGAATCACAATATTACTTTTCATTGGAAATTATCCATCGATTGATCATCAATATCTTCTCACCGAAGAAATTCTCCTGGTAGGTAAAACAATTAAATAATAATGCTCCCGTTTTCTGAAAGTGAGAAATTATTTCAAACTGATGCCAGGCGGTGAAAGTCAGTTTCATCTAATGATCAGTTCATGGAGTTAATCTTTATAGAGTTGTTCGATTAAATAATGCATTATCTTCACTTTGAAGACTCCACCTCAACGGAATGAAGTATTCAAGCGATTTCCTCAAATTCTCCGATTGCAATAACCGCGCGCCATCTAGCGTAGCACAGCGGTAGCCTCCAACCCCATCATCGCCGAATGAAATCGCGCAATAAACGTTGGAATAATGACGGCATAATATGTAGTCTCGAGATGCCTGCCAGTTCACGATGCTAAATTACCAGTTTTCTAAGAATCAATTCATCACCTAGACGGCAAATAATGAGCCAATTAAAAATCATGCCTCAATGAGTTTTTTTTTTCCTCTTACAAATGATGTATAAATGGACGAGTGACGGTGCAGCCATAATTCATGGGCAATAAAAATCGAACCACTCGCAATTCCAACGAATGTCGTGTTGGAAATCTCTATATTATTATTATTTTTTCCTGTTCGTTGGGGTAAAAAAGTGAGAGGTGAGATGGCTAATCTACACTTGTGGAGTTGCCTCCCCACCCCCTGCCCCGCCCCCTTTCTAGTTTCCTCATTGCCATCAAAACAGTGGAGGAAAGCACCACTGAGGCATAACCCAAACCAAACTACCCTCTTCTGCCACCGGTCGTGGCCGTCACGGCTTCCGCCGGCGCGCGATGATAAATTACGTACTCACGGTAATTGCCTTCTAAGTTATGGCTTATAGCGCGTATGAAATATGGTATCGCTCCGCACGCAATTACTGCCCGGTTATTTATCTCAGGAGCCATGACTCTACTGTACGCTCCTTCCTCCACTTTCTACCTTCACTCTCTCATCCCCTAGCCTTTCCACAGCGCAACTCCTTTCTCCGGGTATGATGGGTACTCACTCATACTGCATTTAGTGTTGCATATTTATTTTCTAAGAGGGGAAATTGTTGTGATGAAGCGGGAATTTGAACGGGTTTGCGGGGATATTTAATTGAGGAGGATGATGATTAATGGTTTAATGAGGAGAGGATTCATGTCGGCGGGAGATGATTTATTCTCGGATGATGGGTAGAGAGACGACGAATTTTAGATCTCATGATGATTTTAATCACTTCTTTTTTTGTGGGTGATTTACCGTAAACATTCGGACAGACAATTGTTTTGACTACTTTCTAGTCATGCAGACTTCATTATTAGGCTTCAGAACGATTTTTGAAAAATTAAATCAGTGATGATTTCATTAGAAGTACTGACTGTTGGTATGTGACCGATTGTTAATAATTTTTTAGGGCTCCATCACGTCACTCATACTGCATTTAGTGTTGCATATTTATTTTCTAAGAGGGGAAATTGTTGTGATGAAGCGGGAATTTGAACGGGTTTGCGGGGATATTTAATTGAGGAGGATGATGATTAATGGTTTAATGAGGAGAGGATTCATGTCGGCGGGAGATGATAATTTATTCTCGGATGATGGGTAGAGAGACGAAGAATTTGAGATCTCATGATGATTTTAATCAGTTCTTTTTTTGTGGGTCAGTTACCGTAAAGATTCGGACAGACAATTGTTTTGACTACTTTTTAGTCATGAAGAGTTCATTATTGGGCTTCAAAACGATTTTTGAAACATTAAATCAGTGATGATTTAATTAGAAGTACTGACTGCTGGTATGTGACCGATTGCTAATACATTCACTGTTGCATATTTATTCTTTGGGTGATGAAGGGATATTATTATAATAAAACAGGAATTTGAACGGATTTGGGGGAGGAGGATGATTACTGGCTTAATGAGAGGAGAATTGACTTTGGCCATCAATATTACATTTCCTCAATATTAAAAGGATTTCCGACTCACATTGATAAAGGTTTAAATATGCTCATCAATATTTAAAAATAGTATAATATTAATAATTTAAATGTCCGATTGATGATGAATTAAATATTAGATAATATGGAACTGTACCTTTTCCATTTAAGTAAATAATTCTAATTTCGTAAAAAGGATTTTTGATTAACCAAATAATCGTCAATCTTCCTATTTAAATTATTGATTAATAAAATAATTAAGGATTCGAATAATTAAATTGACTAGCGAACGGGCGCTTCGCCAATGAACTGCAAAAATCACGAATTGGAGACTGAAAGTTTGTTAAAAGGGATCATCGGTTAGAAACTGGAGAAAATTTGTTCGTCATTTCTGTCGGTGGAAAATGTGAATCACTTTTTTTTCTTCGAATATGGGCGTGATATGAATATTTTGAAATTTTATGTTCTAATTTTAACGAAAAGAAATGAAAAAATGCACAAAAACGTAGACGGGAAGAAATTGAAAAAAAAATTTATGTATTCGAAGAGTTTTAAAATCGATTTAATTTTTCGAATAATGGAAGAATACCCATAAACTCGATTGTTGGGCTTCAGTACACTTTTTCAAAAATTAATTCATTAATAATTTAATTACAATTACCGACTGCTGGTGAATAGCCGGTTGTTAATAATCTTTGATGGCTTCATCGATATTTTACCCGCATTAATTTGCCTTCTTGACGGAAGATAAGAGTGATTTCTACTCTTTCAACCCACGGAGCATTCTATCTTCTCGGAAAGAACCTACAGCCTTTCGCGCGTAAAGTAGTAAACGAGTGTGGAGAATGGCACAGATCAGTTGACAAACAGCACGATTTTTTTGTTTCTAAATTATATTCCTTTTAGAAGTTCGTGGAATTTGTACACTGCCTTACTTTAGATAGTTTCTTATTAACAATCGAGCAACAACCTAACTTTTTCGATACTCCCTAGCCAATCATTTAGACATTGTTATGCATGCATTAACATTCTAACCTGTTTTGTGGTGAAAGGGGATTTTTTTCGTCAAAAATAAACCAAAAATGAGGAAATTTTCGGAGATAACTTGGCCATCTGAATACTCTGAATTAAAGGTAAGTCCGGATTCATTTACAAACACCTGAGAATCAAATTAAAAACAGACTCACGAGGGTCAGCTAATCGTCACAAGTTCTCTTTGTTCTGATTCCCTGGATTCGCTATATTTTTTTTTTAATGCTTGGACTGAAAGTATTTTTAAACTTCAGAGAATCGAAGAACTCCTTGTCTGTGGAATATGCTACGACTACATGGAAACCTCGGTGATGACACCATGTTCACACAATTGTAAGTATTTCCTCTATCAAGTGAAAAATTAATCGATAAAAAAATTAATCCGTTGATAAGGAGATAAGTCCGGATAATTTAATCTCCAATCAATATGAATTTTCCAATACATGTCTTTTCAGCTGCAATTTTTCAGCTGACCACATTTCAAATACTAAAACACGAATCAATATACCACAAACTAATGATATTCTCAGAAAATTTCTTTAACCATCCACAATTAAACAAAATATCTTAGTGTTTACAAATTGAATCAGAGATCATGATAAGAGACTTGAAAAAATAGAAAATCGTAAAAACGCATTTTACGATATTGAAAACTATCTGCGAGGAATTGCTCACTGAATCTCTATAGAAAATGGAAAACAGCCTTCAAAAAAATCCATAACAAAAATAAAAATCAATCTTCTCGTTGTCACTGAATTCTTATGCGGAATTTTCAATCATCAGTCATCAAGTGATTTTCATTGACATGTGTATTAAGTTATCAAGTGGAGCAATAATTTTTTTTTCTGCATTATTTTCTGAATCCTGCGTCCGATAATCTAAATATAGTAAACAAGTTCAAGTTCCCTGAAAATTAAATTGTCAATATTGAATTATTAAAAAAAAATCATTCTCATTGAATTCTTATTGAATTATCGTTTTTTTACCATTATTAATTAAAACCAAAAACCGTCTTTACAGCACATTAATTAGTGATGTGTCTAACATCAACAACCGATGAGAATAGAAAAACTCGCTAACTTAAGAGAATGCAATAATTTAAGTTATATAGAATTTGTCCTGAAATCCATAGGGCCCGATTGTCTTGGGATACACCTTAATTCCTCTCAACCCTGAATTTCCAGACTGTTCCCTCTGCATCAGGAAGTACCTCCACTACAAGAACCAGTGCCCCGCCTGTTTCCAGGACACCTTCGAGAAGGATCTCCACACAAACCGGATTCTCGACGAGATAATCCTCTACTTCGCCACGATCCGGAACAAATTAGTCACCTGTATTTCAGGAGCAAAACGCCTCCCCCTGGACGAGCCCCCCGCCCCCTCTCCCCCAGTGCGTCCAGCGCGATCAAACCAGATAAAATCCCCAGAGATCCGTTCAAAGCCGGAGACCCCCCCAGACGACCCCCCGACCCCCGTCCTCACTCCAGTGAAGTCCTTCTCGAGTCCCAGCACGAGTGGCACCTCCAAGCTCACCACCTTCTTCACCCCAAAGTCTCGAAAGCCTGACAGGTCGATTACGCTGGTCCCCTGCCCAGTCTGCAGGGTCGAGATATCAGAGCTCCACATAAACAAGCACCTGGACGACTGCCTGAAGCGAGACTCCCAGCCAGAGCGTCCACCAAGAGTCGAATCGAAGCGAAAACCCCTCCCAAAACTCGTCGTCTGCCTGATGAAAGACACTGAACTAAAAAAGAAGATGAAGCTGTTGAATCTGTCCATCCGAGGGGACAGGAAGACTCTGGAGAATAGGTACCACCGTTACTGCACCCTCTACAACGCAGAATGTGACAAAGTCTCACCAAGAAGTGTCGAAGAAGTGTTGAAGCAGTGTGAAGAGGAGGAAGAGCTCGAGAGAATGAGCCAAGAAGCAAAGCTCAATGTTTCCAGACTCAACATCACCAGGAACAGCAATCAACACGTGATCGAAGCGATGCAGAAGCAGTACCTGGAGACCAATAAAGACAAATACGAGGACCTGATCGCCCAGATCAAGAGCAGGAAGGCACCTAAGCCCCCGGTGCGTCGTTCCCTGATCAACGACAGTCAGAATGTTAAGGAGAATGGGGATGAGGGGGCGGCCAGTGAGGAGAATTCAACCTCGAGGCCAATCTTCGAGGATGCTTTTCAGGATAATGACTCTGATGACTCCTGCCTGCTTCAAACGTACACCAGCGACCATCCCATGAGCTTTCTTTGTCTTGGGATGAGTGACGAAAGCTCGAGCCCAAAGAAAATGAAGAAGAGAAGTGAGACACTGGCCGTCCATAATTCAATGAGTAATGGAGTGGATTCTACTAGGGTACCAACTCCCAGCATTTACGATCAAACTACTGATGCTGAGACTGATGATGATCAGGGTGACTGCATGGAAACATCGGTGGTGACACCATGTTCACACAATTGTAAGTATTTCCACTCATGATGAAAAATTATTCAATGAAGGATTGTATTCAGTGATAAAAGGATCAATCCGGAGAATTTAATCTTCAAGCTGCATGAAGTTCCCCCCAGAATTCATCAATCTATTTTACGATTGATGTTCTCAATTTCTCCTTTGCCTAATAAAAAGAGTGAACAAAAGGTCATTGTAATACTCTACGATTGTATCTCGAGTTAACTAGTTCGATTTAGTCTGATTAGCATTCCCGAATAGAACTCTTCACATTATTTGAAAATATTACATTCTTCATAGTATTCAACGGTGGCGTCAATAATATCTCTGGTATCCATTATACGTTGGGTCTTCTTAATAAAAACATTATTTGAGTGGACATGGTTGCATTAAGTAATGATTGATCCTCTGCAATTGTCAGTTAACTAATGATCAATTTATCATCAAATAAATAGGGGTAAGTGGGGCAAAATGAAACAGTCGAAAAACGATTTATATTCTTGATATTTATAAAAAATAAGTGCCAAAGTTATCTGTATGATAGAAACAAAGCTCTGCAACTTTTACATTTCACCGCCACTTCCCCTCAATTATTCAGTAGTAATACCCCAAGAGCTTCAAAATTATCGGGTATTTCCCGATAGCTTCGTTGCAAACAAATGAGGGTGTCACGTTTTGCAGGTTAAAAAATGCCGAGCGCTTACGCGAGGGATTTTTCTGGAAAACTTGGCACGGAGGTTTGTTTGCAGGGGAGCTTGAGGGAAATACCCGATTAATTTTTAATCTCGAGGGGTATTTGTCGGATTATTTTTCCCAATCGGATTTTGACCAAGTAGAGTGCAGTGGACAACATCAGGAGGTGAATTGGGGAAGATTTGAACAAATTAGGTTAATAGAATAACCCGATTTCCGTAGACTGACAAATTTAAGATTCTATCTGAAATGAGCTACTGCGAAATATTCAGGTAAAGGAAATGAAGAACTACTGCGAAATTTTCAAAAGCTAGGAGGAAATATCCGAAATAAAACTGTCGGGTGGCCTCAAATACTGCGCTCTGACTGGTCGAAATGCGATTGGGTAAAATAATCAGTATCAATACAAATTTTTTAAACCATGATTCATTTCATTCTGATAATCATTCTTGGACTGAGCGTCGAAAAATCGATTTTTGAAAAAATACCAATATTTCACAAACTCTATGAATAATTCAACTTTACTTGGTGTCGATGAATAGAGCCTATTATCGTTCACATCCATAGAAAAATTCATGAAATTTCATCAAGCTCCTATAAAGAAAATTGCAAAAAAAAAATTGAAAAAAGTACACACACATACATACCACCATCCATATTCAGACACCATCTGAAAATCGCGTATTTACTTTTTAGACCATATTTAGTTACCCTGAACCTAATTTTGAACGATTACAAAGCTTCCACTCGGAAGCAAAAAGAGTAACATGAGGGAAGAGTCCCAGGGATGACGGAGGAAAGAGGGGGGGGGGAGTCATGAGGGATGAGGGATCTGTATAAAATCTTCAACACAATTTACTACCCCAAGCACTTCATCATTCTTTCACTAGCGTCAGGCACACCATTGTAAATTGAAATCCTCAATGCTAATCCCTCTGTAATCCCTCCATCAATTTCAAATCCTGTCAATCAGTGCAATTATTTAAGCCCGCTCATTAACTCCCTCATTATCACACTCCATCTCGTTTTGTTCGTGCAGCAGCGATGCCAATGGAGCCCAATCTGAAGGAGGACAGGAGAATAATTGAGGAGAGGAAGTCCAGGGGGAGAATTCTGGCTGATGCCATTGTTAAGGATTTCTGCGATGACGATAGTAATGAGGAGGAGGTAAAAGTCGAGGGCAAGGTCACGGAGTCTGGGAGGGGCGACAAGGAGAACGACGAGGGGGAGAGTATTGCTGCACGTCGCCCAGTCAGGAAACGCAACCATCCGTCAAGATTCCGAGATGAGGGGGAGAAGGGACAGACCAGCAGATTGACTCCTATTGATGCACTCAGGGAGGAAATTAATGGGAATAAACTGGTGGTGAAGGGAAGTGATGGGACGTTGAAGAGACGACGCCGGCGTAAGGGTGACGAGGGGAGTGAGGAACCTCCCAGGAGACCTGTCCGGAAACGAGAGGCTAGCAATGTCGTGCAGGGTAATTGACGATTTTTTTTAATGGAGTTTTAGGGAGGGACGAGTACTAGTGGTTTTTCCAGCATTTATGTGTAATTTAGGGAAGATTGTGAGAGGAGTTTAAAGGATTAAATATATTTGTATTCTGTTTTGAATTGGCTGTTTTGATTGCAAACCTGCGGGGGGGGGGCGGTCTAGGAATTAATTGCTGTGTTCACTGGAATTTTTACTGAGAATTCTTCCCATCCAAATTGCAACCAATAGAATTCCCCTATTTGACTGTTAGTTTATATAGTCAACACGGTATTCAACTGATAATTTTTGATAATTTTTCATGTTGTTATATATATATTTCCTGGTCGAGTAAGCCTCTCATTGGAACTGATAGATGAATTTTTTCTGATAGTGCAATTCTCTTGGCAGAAATTTGGATGGAAAAATTCTTTTCTGAATACCACAATGTTGAAGCTCTTGTGGTATTACATACGATAAAAATTGCTTGAAACCAAATGAAGACGGTACTTTACATTTTGACGCCTAATTTTTTGGCGCTGATGAATAATTAATTTAAAAAATAGAAAACAAAACAGAAAATAAAATGGATAACGAAAAATACAAGGGCTATTCTGCCAAATATTGCAGGGCAATCCAGTCTCAAACTACTCTTATTTGGATCCTTAATCTGACCCTCATTATAACCCTCGTAATCCTTATTTCGACCCTGGTGGCCTTTAGATCCTGACCCTTGGTTTTTGACCCCCATGACCCTTATTTGCACCCTTAATCTGACTCTTGTAACCCTTAAAATGATCACCCTTAATCTGATCCATATGACCCTTAATCTAAACAATATAATCCTTATTCTGACCCTCATGACCCTTAAACTGGCCCTCATGACCTTTATTTTGTTCCTCATGACCGTTATTTTGACACTTGTGACTCGTATTTTGACCCTTGTGACCTTGATTTTTGAAATCTTAATTTCGAGTACCAAATTTTCATCACCGGAAGTCAATTTAGATTTTTATAATATAGAGAGATTGTCGAACATGTTAAAATTGAACGAAGAATTTCCAGCCAAAAACTCTCATTTACACGGAGCGTCACTAATTGAATTATGAGATCTCTACTACTCGAAAAAACTTTTTTATAAACAAATATTCGAAAGGAGCAAAAAAAAATTTAATGCTGATCAATTCACATCTTATTGTCCTTTCTATAAAATTATTGAAAATGTCCATGTCACCATTATCAATTGCGTGAACGTATCAATTAAATAAAATTCAATAAAATAAAAAACGAACACTCGCTTAATTGATTTTTCATATGCGCCAAATAATCTACGGGGGTCAAAAACTCCTATGACAAAATAGAGAGAGTGGAATAAATAATACTGTGGGAACTTGGCATCCTAATTTTAATGATGAAGATGAGGCAGTTCTCGTTCATTTATGGAAATTTATTGAGTTACTGAGAAATTAACAGGGAAATTTTTATTAAATGACAGTTCCTCCAAAGTTTCAAGGAATTTCGTAATTTGAAATTCACAACTTGATGGAAATATCAATGGAAACCGTAAATTTCAGTTCAATCATTGCATGAAAGTTTTGAAAAGTTTGATAGATTTTTCTTTTGGATAAATTCTACTCTAGTAACTTCACAGGAAAAATTGCCCTCGAACAAAGTCCCCAACATATTCATTTTCGATGAAAATACAAATTTTCGAGCTCATAATTAATTTCCTTTAACAATAAATATGAATAAATGGGATAAGGGGTCATAAATTCTCATAAAAATCATTGAATTGAATTGAGTATATTTTCAACAGCTGAAATATCTATCCAGAGCCTTCAATTTTATTTACACATCAACATTTGGTACAATTCCTCCAATAATCAATTTTCAGAGATAAATCGTGAATTCAACATCATTTATTTTTGATATTCCTCACTCGACAGTTCTATCAGTCAACTAGAAACTACCTATCACATTTATTTAACTCAACTCATCGCCAATTATTAATTCCTCACCATCAATAGTCTAATTTGAACCCTAAGGACACTCGAAAAATTATCTGTCTTCCTCGATGAACATTATTTATCGTTAATAAGTACATGGAATCGTTTTGAGGCAGAATATTTATTAGTTACGATCCACGCAATAAATTCCCCTCGTTATTACTCCTATCGATTAATTTTTTACAGGCATCTTTGAAATAAAAATACAGAGCCTCTAACAGTCAATTACCTGAACACTTCGTTTCCTATTTACATTTCCTCATCTGAATAAAATCTGAATAAATACGAGTTCAGGATATCTCTCGTCATTTTATTTTAATTTTCAAATTCAACGTTGAACCTGTTGATTGAAACTCGTTAGAATATCGTAGTGACTTGTGATTATTCTCACAGCTATTATTTTGTCTTTATTACAAGCACATTTGCCATGGATTTATGTCGACGGATTATGAATGATCAAAAGTATATTCTTGAGTATAACAATAATAGAGAACTTAGAGGCGATAATTCGAATGGAAAATTCAAGATGAAAAAATTCAATAGAAAAACCAAACGCTTTTAATCGGAAATTGATTTTAAATTTCTATTGGAATCTCATAAAAATTACATAGGATATCTATTCAAATGCTACGGGACATTCTTTTCGTTTGTTCATGGATGTTTGAGAAAAGAAGTCAATAGATTTTCATTTTTTATATAACTTATTCTCTCGAAATTTTTCTACAGACATTTTATAAGTTTTCTCTATTACATTTGGTTTTTTCTCGTCACAAAATCCATTAAAAAAAAATTTATCAATATCTATTGACGTTTTTCTGTTTGTTCTTCAATGGAATTTAACGTCCTTCAACTTTACGGAATACAATTTCTAATAGACATTTCATACATTGATTTTTTAAATCTTTTGATACCTTAGGCTCATTTGAATCATTCTTTTCAGCCACATTGATCCCATCAATCTATTTTACGATTGATACTCTCAATTTTCCCCTTTTCCTACAAAAAAAAAGTAACAAAAATTTTATTGTAATACTCTACGGTGATATCCTCAGTAATCTAGTTTGATTGACTCTTTGATTAGCACTCCCTCATAGAACCCCTCACATTATTGCACGACATTTAAAAATCCCTCACCAATTAAAAAATATTGCATTCTCTATACAATTCAACGGTGGCATAAATAATCTCTCCAGTATCAATTTACATTAGGTCTTCTTTCCTCAATTAAAACATTATTCGCATGGACCTGACGGCATTACGCAATGATAGATCCTCTTCAATTATCATCTAACTTATAATCAATTAATCATCAAATAAATACATATCTTTTGATTCAACATGACATTATTCACGAGAAGGGACGACTACATTATAATGACTTCCTTGAATAGAATTAAAATTTACACCGTTGATTCAACGGAATTAATCTGCCATCAACATTATTAATTAATCAGTATGTCCAACCCAATTTGCTGTAGCAAGTACTTCGTAATCACCTCACTACAGTCAGGCACACCATTATAAATTTAAATCTACAATGTCCATCCCTCTGTGATCCTTTCATGAATTTAAAATTCTGTCAATCAGTGCAATTATTTAAACTCGCTCATTAACTCCCTCATTATCACGTTCCATCTCGTTTTTTTCGTGCAACAGTGATGCCAATGGAGCCCCTTATCTTCCTCAGTAGATCAATTATCTCAGCAGTTGGCATTTCCTCAACACTCTCATCATTGACCTGTGAATAAGACAGAAAATGCACGAGTGATCGATTAACGTGACTGATTAAAAGCTCATGTACAAGGGGTTAATGTAATCCTTGGGCATTAGAGAGGGCTTACCATAATTAATACATCTCCCTGCTTCAGTCTACCATCCTTAGCAGCTACACTGTCTGGATGCACCATCGATATGGCTGTACCATTAACATCCGCCTGTAAACTGAAACCCAGTCGGCTATTCCATCCCCTTGTCAATTCTACCATGAATACCTACGTCAGATAAACATCAGATTGAAATTTCTATTCATTAAGTTAATTAGCATAATCATGGTGCGGTCTGAAAGGGAAGTTTGTTAATTTAATTGATTGGGAGATGAGTGCACTTCATCCGTGATTGGATGCATCTCAGGGGCGGCGGGGGGAATGGAAAGATAATATTGGAATCGATTATCTCCAGAGAATGTCGACATCTAAGAGGAATGTTCTTGTATAGGGACATATCCGGTATATTGTTGGATTTTTTGGATAATAAATGGGAAAAACGAAGGACATTTTTTGTGCGAAATTTCAACAACTAAAGAAGTAATTTGAAATATTCTACAAAATAAACAGTTCCTCGTCATGTAAATTTTGGGACTAATACAAAATTGAATGAAAAATATTTTTCAAAATTCTCTGATTTCAATTTTTGGAAAAATTAAAACAAAATGAAGACATCAAGAGGTCCTCAATAGTTTGTTCGCTGAATTTTCTATGGAGGGAGAAAGGGGGATTCGTGTTTATCCAGAGATTTACTGGGATAACTTACATTATATCCCTCCCTCTGTAGGCTCTCCTCGCGCATCCTCTCCCTCTCACTGGGCTCAGCCATTTCACCTTCGCCCTCGTCGTCCGGTGCAAACATCACTCCCTTCCACTTCAAGAGGCCCTTGCTACCACCTGGATTCTCACCGCTCAACACTTTTCCTGCAATAAAAAGGGAGATGTGAATTGTTGACGTTTCACTGCTCGAGATAATCCGCCATGTTACAACACAACATCCGCTCTTGATAAGAACGTTATTATCAGTGTAATGCTAATGACGTATTTCTCGGTATTTGGGTCACGTTCAGTGCCACGGGGGCTTTAATAGTTTTCAAATTGTTCGTGATTTAGGGGACAACTGTACATTTTAAAGAGCTTGAGAATTATGAGCGGAATGATATGAAATCGGTTCATTAGCATGTGAATACTATTTAACTTCTCGATAAGGGAAGTTATTGTAATTGTGATAAGATTTTTCAATTGTTCATAAGATAATTGAATTACAATTTTCAAAGTGTTGATTTGAGTGTTGAATAATTATTGTATTGAAAGACATGAATCACAAATTAATTTTTAAAATATTTTCCACATTAATTGGAGATTTCATAGAGTTATTAATTATTCAACTTCATTGATCAACCCCAAAGAAGAAATCAAGGAAATATTTTCAAAAAGAGGTTTAATTGTTCAGGATTTTAGGATTCTAGGATTTTACAATTTTACGACTTCAGAATTTTAGAATTCTAGGATTTTAGGATTTTAGAAATTTAGGATTTTACACAAAATCATCATTTCTGTGTGAAATGCCATTAATAACTAGGAGAAATTTTCGATATACCCTATAAAGTTGGCAACGTCTCAGACATCTGCGTTGTCACAAAAAAAAAAAATCCAAGGTATTTTACTGAAATTTACCTGGAATGTCTTGATCACTCGAGTGAACAATTTTACTTTTGGCACTGCCATTATCACCACCCCCGCAAGTAGGATTAGCACTCTGATAAGCAGGATTCTTGTAGCTAAACGCTTCACTATTTGTCCTAATTGAGGACATAATTGGTGGCATTGAGACAGGTTCGGACGGCAATGAATTGTCCTGCGTTATATCACGATGGAGTTCTTCGATGTAATCGATTGGATTTTTACTACCCTCAGGTATGATAATGGTCTCCTCTCGCTCAGACTCCAGACTGAATTGATAATTTGGCTTCTCTAGGGGACCACCGAGATTGAGAAAATTAGGTCTCGATGGTTTACCCGAGTCAAATGAATCAGATGCGTCATACAGAGCTGGTGGATCGATTATGTCGTCTGGCGTTGACCCTTTGGCTATTTGGGTCTTTATCGAGCACTGATCGCTGTCTGATGTGTCAACCTGACTGCCCGTTGACACCTGATTCGATGAGTATATCGGTTCTGAAAGGGTTTAAATAAATGAAAATGGTTTTAAAGATTTAAAGCAACAAAATATCGGATTTTGGGATTCTTGAGGTAAAAAGTAAACTTTACTCACGAGCTCACGGTTGAAACTTTGTAATTCAATTATTTCTGTGAATATTTTTGAATTGAAAAGAGGATAAGAATTCAGCTTGCGTCAGGAGAAATACTCGGATATTTGCGATGCAAAGCATTACGAGACCCTTTTTTTAAACGTCCTTATTTTCTTTTTGAACTTTTTTTGACGCTTTGAGGAATTGAGAAGATGGAATTAAATTTACCGTTGTCTCGTTCACCAGTGGGTGTTCTCGAAGCCGGTCTTCGTAATCTTCTCGGGGAATTTGTGGATGTACCAGATGTCTGCTGGCAGCTTGAGCCGTTTGATGTGCCAGGTGACAACTTGCGAACAGCCAGATCACAGAGCATGTCCATTGCCTCTTGTCTGAAATTATTTTTCACATTTCGTAATTGCTGACTTTTCTTCGAGAGATGAATGGGAATTTTTGATGGATGGAAATGTCCAGGATCACTCTGCACTGCGTAATATGAATAACTAACATTTTTATTGGTTGGGGTATGTTTTATAATTTACGTAGACTCATCGTGGAATGTTACCTCGCTACTTTCATTACGTTGACATTATGGAATGTTATTAATAACTTGCGACTCAGATTCTGACTGTAATTATTGTGTAATCCCCAGACAGTTTGCGTTGTGCTGACAGTGAGAAATAAACGAGAATTATTGCGGTGGGGCCACATAATTTCATGTTGGGGGGAGGAGATAAGAGCATTCGGATCGTGTCAGAATTTAGTTAATTATGTTAATATCCGTGATCAAAATTCTAAAATTCTAAAATTCTAAAATTCTAAGATTCTAAAATTCTAAAATTCTAAAATTCTAAAATCCTAAAATTCTAAAATTCTAAAATTCTAAAATTCTAAAATTCTAAAATTCTAAGATTCTAAAATTCTAAAATTCTGAAATTCTGAAATTCTAAAATTCTAAAATTCTAAAATTCTAAAATTCTAAAATTCTAAAATTCTAAAATTCTAAAATTCTAAAATTCTAAAATTCTAAAATTCTAAAATTCTAAAATTCTAAAATTCTAAAATTCTAAAATTCTAAAATTCTAAAATTCTAAAATTCTAAAATTCTAAAATTCTAAAATTCTAAAATTCTAAAATTCTAAAATTCTAAAATTCTAAAATTCTAAAATTCTAAAATTCTAAAATTCTAAAATTCTAAAATTCTAAAATTCTAAAATTCTAAAATTCTAAAATTCTAAAATTCTAAAATTCTAAAATTCTAAAATTCTAAAATTCTAAAATTCTAAAATTCTAAAATTCTAAAATTCTAAAATTCTAAAATTCTAAAATTCTAAAATTCTAAAATTCTAAAATTCTAAAATTCTAAAATTCTAAAATTCTAAAATTCTAAAATTCTAAAATTCTAAAATTCTAAAATTCTAAAATTCTAAAATTCTAAAATTCTAAAATTCTAAAATTCTAAAATTCTAAAATTCTAAAATTCTAAAATTCTAAAATTCTAAAATTCTAAAATTCTAAAATTCTAAAATTCTAAAATTCTAAAATTCTAAAATTCTAAAATTCTAAAATTCTAAAATTCTAAAATTCTAAAATTCTAAAATTCTAAAATTCTAAAATTCTAAAATTCTAAAATTCTAAAATTCTAAAATTCTAAAATTCTAAAATTCTAAAATTCTAAAATTCTAAAATTCTAAAATTCCAAAAGCCTAAAATCCCAAAATCCTACAATCCTACAATCCTAAACTCTTAAAAACCTGTGATGATTTTCAAATAAATGGATAATTTCTTTATTTGAATCAAGAAGGCATTTCTTCATGTTTAAAAAATTATTCATTGAATGTGAATAAAAACGCAAATAAAGATCATGTAGTTTGAATAACAGCATTTCCTACAAACTATTTGAATTAACCATTTCTGTGATTGTAGAAAAACGAGATGAAAGTTTTCGATGTTTCGACTTTAAATTTTCCAAGTCCTTATCAGGATAAAAAAAACAGTCTCTTTATTTTCCTCTATGAACATCAACACAGCAATTAGGTAATCATTTCACCTAATGAATATTCACCATATTATGATATCACATAATTTGGAGTGTGTTCATGATCGAAGAAGATGAGACGCTGAATTTTATTCAGCTCCACCATCGGAATAGTTCCCCAACAATTCACGAGTGAATACGAACAGAAATGGAATCCTTACCGCAGACTCGTTCGAGGTGGACGGAGTGGATGATCGGGCTCAGTCGGTGACAATGCTGATACGGGAGTCTGTGCCAAGTCTCGATAGAGACGAAGTTTAACTCTTGGTCCACACTGCCTGAGCAATGCAACTGCCTCCTCGTGGCTCATTGGTGACAGGGGTGCACCATCTACCGCAACAATCTTGTCGCCTGGCTGAATACGACCGTCGCTCAATGCTGGTTCACGCACCAATGCCCTCACATAATGGCCCAAAGCACTGCTATCCACCTTACGTAGAGTGAAACCCAAACTTCCGCCCACTTTAGTCATCTCAATGTCAAATTCCTGGAAATGGAAGAGTGACATTTTCTATTCAAGTAAAACCGACATTTTTTTTTATCTATATATCTCTGGTGTTGCCCGGACAATTCCTTCCATCTAAAAATGTTGAGCTTTTTCTTTTTTTCTATGGATAGCAAAAAATTCGAGTTTTTAGACTGGAATTTATTCAACTTTTCTGGAAAATCCTAGAATTTTCCCATTTTTTTTAGAAACCCACAAATCCTCCTGAACTTTTCCCGAAATCCGAAAGTTCTTTTCAGTAGCGAAGCGGTAAACCGGGTTAAGTCGATTTTGACTTTGGGTCAGTTTTTGATGAATATCTCGGAATCTAAGAGAGATGGCAAAATTTTCCCATGACCTTTTTTGTAACCCTCAATTGGCTCTACAAAAAAGGTCATGACAAAAAATTTTCCATCTCTTTTAGATTCCGCAATATTTGTCAAAAACTGGCCAATAGTCAAAATCGACTTAACCTGGTTTACCGCTTCACTACTGTTTTCAGCTGCCCAGAAAACCTAGAATCAAGAATTCTTTCATTTTATCCTCTGAAACATTTCACTATTATGTACAGAATTTTCAGAGAATTCCAGAAATCTCGAGAAAGTTCTATGCTGCATCCTGTTGTATGCAACACAATGCCTGTATAGCACCTGTTATACCGGGTACCCGAAACTAATTACCGAAAAAGGTTACAGATTTATCATGCGTAAAATTTCCTCGTAAATATTTGATAACTCAACCAAGATAGGAAAATTTTAATCCTCATCAAAAGTTATTCATTTTCATTCATTAAAAAATGTACATAAAAAACTCCTCGAAGTCAAATTGCCTAATCCAATTGAACATTGGAATCGCCAATTTTTCCTATCCAATAATGCCCCATCATAAATGCATTTCCCATTTTTTATTGAGATAAAATGCTCCCAGATGGAATGACATACCCCACAAGGTTCGATCTGAAGTGGTGGAAGTGGATTGAGTAATCTCAGGGGTGGAGGTGGCTCACGACGTGCTGGAGGGGGTGGCGGTGCACCGGGGGGTGAAATATTTTGCTCATCCCCTGGGAGTCGACACACTAAAAGCTCGACTGTGCTCGATGTCGTTCGTAGTACCTCCAGAGCCTCCTGAATAAATGGACGAAAAAAAAAATTAGCGATAGCAGAGAGGAGGATCCATCGAAAATACGTTTGTTTGATTTCTCTATATTCATTCCTCGAAATTGCTTCGAGGTGCACAATGACATCAGTTGTCTGTGCTTGAACTCACGTAGTTGGTGAGATCGGTGAGGGGTATGCCGTTTGCCGCAAGAAGAATGTCACCGGGTTGAAGTTTGTTGGATAGTGCCGCTGGCTGTTGAGGAAACAGCCTTTTAACTCTCACTGGACCAGCACTACCACCACCAGATACACTTAACCCAAGCCCACGGCTACTTTTCTGCAGGGTCACCCGAAACGTGCTCTCTGAAATGAAAAATTCAATCAATTGATGGTGAGTTGGGTTTCAGAGCCTTTTTATTTTCGTCTGTGGGTAACTTCTCGGGGTTTCTATCGAGTTTCTTTTGCCGAGGGGTGGAAGCTTTGTAGTTGTAAGTGTTTTTGGATTCGTACTTCTGGGGAATAAGTCACTTTCGAGGGGTTGGGGTAGTCTTTTTTTGTGGGGGTGAGTTTGTGTTGGTGATTGTTTGAAGTAGTTGAGTGAGGGGTGAAAATTATCTACGGGTCTCAATTTTTTGACGAATTTGAAGTAGCTTGAGGGGAATTGAACGTGTTTGAGATTTAAAATTTTAAAAGTTCGGGTTAAGTTGTGAGGTACATGATGATTGCAGACACTGCTAACAATTTTACTCTTGAAATTTCAAGTGAAAAACCTTCAAATATTTAAAAACGACAAACTTACATGGAATTTTCACATCAGTTACATGAAATTGACCAATCAGTTAATTTCTTGAATGTTCAAGTAATTCTCGATTTTCAGGTCCATACGGCCCGAAAAACCTTGAAAATTCTCTGTTTATTGAAAATTGAATTATTTGTGATGTTTCATTTTCACGATGAGTTCAGAAATTCAAGCTTTTATTAAAAAATCAATGATTGTTTAACATGAAAAACCGAATTTTTGTGAATTTTGCTTTCATTTGGAATTGAATTCAATCTCACAACATCGAAAATTCAGATGACGTTGTGACTGAAATTTCAAGAAATTTCTAACAGTGCAGTAAGAGTCTTGAAAGTTTCTAACGAGTCACATTTCCACTGACATTTCAAGGAATTTTTTTATGGAAAATTCCTAATTTCGTGGAAAAATCCGCGGGAATTGAAAATTTCAAGTCAATTATTCTGGGAAAATTAATGAAAAATTAGATAAATTCAGAGAAATCTCTATCTTGAAAAATTGAATCAACGTTTTTTAAACCTTCAATAATGTAAGGGTCAAATCCTTGTAATATTACAGAAATTTAATATTGAAGGGGATCCCTGTTGATACGGCTATCCCTTTGGCTATTTCTTCTCTAAAAAGGCCCACAATATGAAAATTCAAAGATGACACATGAATTTAGAAAAATACAGCTGAAAATAAAATAAAAAGGAATTATAATATTTGTGGCCGCTGTTGTACACTGAATCCATTTTGCTATCTCCCTTAGATTTCGAGATATTCACACGGACAGAAATATTCAATAAAAATTACGTATCTTTTTCGTAATTCCGGAGCGCTAAGTGGTTGTCGGAAATTTTACGGAACTGTCACGTAATGTTTACCTGAAATCATAAAATTTTTCCAGAGGAATCCATGTCTTTTCAACTAGGCGACATTTCAACTACCGACTGTTCAACTAACGATATTTCAACCACGACATTTTAACTGCTCAACCTTAATAGCTTATTTTAGTTGAAATATCGCCGTTAAAATGTCGTAGTTGAAAATTTCAGTTAAAATGTCGTAGTTGAAAATTTCAGTTGAAATGTCGTAGTTGAAATGTCGCCTAGTTGAAAAGACGTGCTACCTTTCCAGAGCGTTCCGTAATTTTTCACAGGAGATTCAGGTAAAAATTACGATACTGTCACTTCAATTTTCCGAGTCGATTCCGTAATCGGTGAGCGAACTGTGAGTTCCATAATTTTTACCGACCATTTCTCTTTGTGCATCGAAAACTGACGAATAGTCAAAATCGACTTAAACAGTTTAACCGTTTCGCTACTGAAACTAATTTCGGCGTCAAAATTTCAAGAGTGATCAGTAATTTCTGTTCTGCATGATGATAGTTTGAGCTTGGGCTTGAACAAGTTTGAGGTGACTTGAACTAGTTCGCACTGCAAACTTTCGCGAGTTATGATCAGTTTGTGGTCTACATAAAGAGTAGATAATCTTGCGCTTAAATGAGCTCGAGACCGACGTAAAATAATTCGAGCTTCAAATTCAATACTTATAATTCAACTTTTAAGCTGTAATTGAATGCCATTCGAAACCCCATTTTCCAGAATTGAAACGCTTGATAAATAAAATCCCTTCAACAGTTTCCGACACGGAATTTGTCAGGAACAGAATGAAAATAGTTTTTACAACGGAAGCAACGATTCGAAAACGAATGCCTCTTCCACTCCCTCTGTGAACCTGTTCCGCATGAACTTTTTTTTTCACCAGTCTCTGAATAGAGTTCCAGGTGCACCCCCCGACGGATCATTGAGGACTTTCCGCCGGAGCGGCCGGATATTGGAAAGAACCAAACTACTGACATATCGTTTCAACACATTGTTCAGATCATTGTGAGTACATCCCAGTGGATTCGAATACTCCCACGACAAAAGGTAATTTACATTTGATGCGTCACGGGTAATTTTCCTCGACACACAACGACGACACTCTCTCCTCTTATTTACATCTATTTACTCGTTTTCTTGGTTGCGGAGAGAGAGCTGATTTACTGCGAGCCTCGTGAGACTGCCAGTGGAAAAGAGGGTAACAAATTGTGCTCCGGGTTTATTTCAGAAAACATCCAGAACTATAATTGCCCACTGGAATGGGAAAAAATGAATCAGGGGACAAACAAGCGCATGTCGGAAGTCAACTGCTGACTAGTGGATTTTTTTTTAACGAAAGAGAAAAAATAGTGGAATGGCAAAAAAGCGAATGCAAACGAGTGGTTCAGCGAAACAGAACGCAAATTGCTACGTCTGTTTGTGCGGCATGAAGAGATCGAAATTTCATTTCCATTTATGATTTGGTTTCAATCTCAGCTTTCTCCCATTTTCACCGAACAAAAGGAAAATTCTTGATTAAGTTGTGTTTTGTTTCGTACTTGGGAAAAAACGATTCTTTACTTTCGAGAGAGAATATCGTCGTGGATTTTTCGGGTGAGGGATTTTTCGATACGACATTTTCACACGTTTCCAATCGAATGTAGTAAAATGTGCTTGAATAAAGCGAAAGAAACAAATTTTTAATGAAAAAAAGTTAAAATAAGAGAAAATTGCTTTCGTCACAAGATAGTCAACATATTTTTGCTAATAAATGAGAATTTGCATCCGAATGGAATTTGTATGACGATGTGTTTTAATTTGAATTCAATGATCCATTGAATTCAACTGCCAACAATACACTGCTAGAAATTTATTGAAATATCAGTCACAGCGTCACCTGAATTTTCAATCTTGTGAATTTGAATTTAATTTCAAATGAAAATGTTTGTAAAATTTATCATTTATCTTGAACATTCGGAAAATAGGGATCATTGATATTGCAATGAAAACTTGAATGTTCAAACTCATTGCGAAAATTAAAATTGTTTTAGATGCAATTGAATTTTTAATACATTGAGAATTCAGAAACGTCATGCTCTGAATTTTTTCAATGTTCAAAATTTTTCAGTGCTGTGCGGACCTGGAAATCGAGAATTTCTTGAATATTCAAGAAATGAACTGATTCGTCAATGAAGAAAATCATCATTCGTCATCTTCGTTCGTGATTCGTGAATGAAATATACAGAAATTTCACTTTTCACAACTTTGTTGTTGTTAAAAATTTCAAGCTTTTTCACTTGAAATTTCAAGAGTAATTTTCTAACAGTGTACCTTAACGGTGGCAGCCAACAGTTAACTTACTACGCCGGGGCGAAAAATATCGCTCTAACCATAGGAAATTAAATAAATGACCCTTACCCAAGTGCTTACCACCCTCGCCGTCGGATCCGGTGGTAATTCCGCACGTGGGCACGACTCATTTATTTTACCTCCCTAGGTTAGACATACTATTTTCACTTGCGGGAGGTCTTCCCTCCCAGGGGTCAAAGAACACTTTTCCGACGAGTGTCGTTTCATCACAATGTGTGGAAAGTGGAATTTTCATCACACTGCCCGTAAAACGTCGTTCAAATTTTTTACTTCGTGTCATCCATCAAACGCCGTTTACGGACATTGCGAAGAAAAATTATGTTCGTCACTCGGCCGAAAACAACTTTTCTGACTAGCGCGATTGCATTCCTCGGCTTCGTCTCTGTCTGCAACCCTTACACTCGTCAGAAATGTTTTTTTCGGCCTTATGATGAAAATAGCTATTTGCGCACGCAGAGCGTGCGTAAAATTTCACCTTACGCACAAATGAATAAATAGTATATTTCGATACGAGTGCGGAAAAGTGTTTTCGCCTTATAGTTCTCGCCTTCGGCTCGTGCTATAAACCTCCCACGAGCCAAAAAACACTTTTCCCGTGAGTACCGAACAATATTTTTCATCACAATGTGTAGAAAATGGACGTTATTAGGCGTAAAAAGTTACTTTTTCGCACAGCGCGATGAAAAAGTCTATTCTGTCTGATAAAACATATCACTATTCTTTCCTCAATTATATTTTTCATCACGCTGTGGGTAAAGTGACATTTTACGCACGCTCCGCGTGCGCAAAACCCCACTTCCCACACATTGTGATGAAAAATAGGGTTCGATACTCGCGGGAAAAGTGTTCTTAGACTCGTGGGATTATATCACTCGCCTTCGGCTCGTGCTATAAACCTCCCACGAGCCCAAAAACACTTTCCTGCAATCGTATCGAAATATACTATTTTTTCTTCCCGATACAATAATGTTTACTAGTGCGTAAAGATCCATTTTTTCTCACACACGTGTAACACATCCTATTTTTTATGGTACCTGCCGAATTCACTGTTCGAAACGGTAGCCAGGTAAAGTGGTTGTTTTTTGTGCACGAGTGCGTAAAGTTCAAGAGCGTGCGTAAAGTGGAATTCGAGGGCGCAAAGCGAAGCTTTAAGGATGTACTACACCCTTTCGGTCAAAATTCAGGTTTTTTTCACTTTCCTAGCAAATTATTGATCGGATTGACGCGAAATAATATACAGTTTTTGCGTTTTATCATTATTGATTGACTCACGAAGTTTCATGGCAGTGCAATCATTTTCCTGCATTTTTTCTAAAGTTTTGTGAATTTCCCAAATGTTTTAGAAAAAACGC